CCAGCACATTGTGGGCAATTTATTTTTCTCCTCCATCCTCTGCTCCTAGGGAAGAGATCGGGCTCTCCACTGAATGGCATTTACATCTTTGTTCATCGCAGTACTAACAATTATGAGGCTCTTTTCGATCCTGCAGTCCACATTTCCCCCCCTTGTTTTCAGACCTATATGCTGGGAGCTGCCTGCTGAGTGCACGGTTGTGCCAAGATCCCACTTGCCTAAGAATTACAGCAGCCTGCAGATGCCCTGGCCATGGAAGCTCCCAGCTCAAACACCTCAGCTCTGTTTTAATAGCAGTGTTTACAGCCATTGCCTACCATCATTTTACTATCTGCACAGCTGCAGCCTTCTTTTAATTTAGGCTAAGCATGCAGTTTCTTAAAAACAAGACCAAGCATAGTTTTCAAGAACTTCTAGGGATGCTCCAAAGATCTTCCAAGGATACCCTAAATCCCAGTCAGCTAGCAGGCAGATACTGAACTGCTGTGAATGCCGGTGATACTGAAGTCTATTCGCAATTTTAATTAAATACTCTTATGTTCTTCATAAATCCCAAGGGCTGTCACTCCACAGAGAATTTTTTTTAATTCTGCTCTGCTCCAGGGGACTTGAAATTTTCCCTCAAAGATGCGCCACGACCTCATTGTCAAACGTCCAGTTACTCAGAGCCTCACCTGCCCAAAAATCTGCTCTGTTCAAAGCTGGGCTTTTTGAAACAAAGGTATACAATGTGCCCTGGGCATCTTCGAACAGAAAAATGCCTCTGGCATTTCTGTTCTGGAGGGAAAAGCCAGACACAGCTCAGCAGAGACTATAAACCAAAAAGAGTCCCGATAGCCAGCTCATGGGGCACAGTTGTTAGTTATAAGGAGACAGAACAGGGTGATGAGTCCACAAAGCCTATAAAATTCAGTTTTATTTGAAAGTGCTCAGTCCTTGCCATTGTACAGAATGAGCTGAAAATGCAAGACAATGTGAAAGAATAGCCAGAAGTTTGTCACTGTTATTATCTCTAAAATGTACGCATTACTTATAAAACTAACCAGAAATGGCCTTTGGAGTTCCTAAATGTTATAAACACAGGTCTCTCTAACCTTAAGGGGAAAGTGTGTAATTAAAAATTCCTTTTTAGTTCAAGGATCAGTGTGAGATGGCTTAAGGGGTCTATTTTCTGCTTGGAAACCTTCAGCTCGGGGGAATGCCTAAACCTAAACCAAATATGGTCTCCCACCTCAGGGGTTATATCTTAGCAATATGGAAGGTAACCTCACCTAGTCAACCACATACCACTAAAGAAAGGTTAACACCAGCTCTCCTGAACACTTCCCACAAGACACAGAGGAAAATGAGGACTTCTCCCATGTGATGTTGCACAGATTGACTGCATGAACACAGCAGAACTCAGTGTACTTCTTCCCTGGAGAATTTGAGACTATAAAAATGATGCCCATGAAGCTCTCCAAAATCAACACAAAACATTCCTTGGAACTTGCTTTCATCCTCTTTATACTTCAACTAAAACTTCCAGAAACCAGCTACACTTGTGAGAAAGGCTCACACTGTCAACCCCAGGACACAGAGGTCCCCACTTGGCTTTGTGGGGTCTTTGCCACTGTGGAGATATCTACACCTACCAGCACTGGAGAGCAGGGACTGAGGGGCCTTTTCTGAAAGTAGCATTTGCTACAGCATTCCCCAGAACTGCTGCCAGAGATTTTGCCAGCACAGCCATGCCACCCAAGAAAAAGTATGACTTTCCAGCTAACACGGCCATGCCAGCAAAACATTACAGCATAAACTGAGTAAAAAGGAAAAGTAAAAATTGGAGTCATTTCTCCTCAAAGGAGAATGGGAAGAGTGATCTTTACTGATGGGTTAGCAAAATAAGAAGCAGCTCATTTCACAACTGGAAATACACATCTCCTCCCCTAGAAAGCAAAAGATGTCAAAACAACAACAACAAAAAATCCTATATGGCTATCATAAATAACACCCCATCTTCATTTATTTTCCTCCCACTGCAAAGTGTGGCTTGTGAGACGGTATTTCTTGATCTCCCAAGAGTAAGAAAAGCTCTCTCCATTAACCTGTTCAAATAAGTCACTAGAAAAACAGAAGTGTGAATCCCCACATACTGTGTTGCAGGTAACATGCACAGCGCAGAGCAGCTGCCAGGCACAGGCTGGAGAGCTTTTGACTCTCCCACTGAGGCTTTCTTCCAAAGTGCTTATAGAAAAAGGTTATGTCAGGAAGCAGGAGAAAAGTGCAGGCTCAGGACCTCCTGCACCAACTTAATGCCACATCAGAAGTGGGTACAAAGACACCACCTCTCAGCAGCACCACCAACAAATGCTGAAGAAAAAGCAACAAATCTTGCTCAAGATGCACCAGCCAGCAAAGGGGTATTGTGTCACTGGCCACTGGAATATAAATCCTCCTTTAAAGCTTGCAAATATCCCTTGCAGCACCGGCCTTCTCAGGTTTCTCTGGATGAAGCATTATTTCAGCTCTATGTTTAGCACTTGGAAGGAATCCAGGAAGACTTCCATAACCACCACTGATTTGTTAATCCCTTAATGCACAGGCACTGTTTGTTACTTAGGACGTCAGGTTTCATCGCTCCTCAGCACGCTGGTGATAGAACTTCTTGACACCAGGCTGCAAATATTATTGCAAAGTCAATACTCCCAGGGAGAAAGACAAGCTGAGTTAAAATGTGACTTTGGTGTTGACAAGCCAGTTTGGCATTGCAAAGTTCAAATGGCCGGGATCACCTGGTAACTTTCAAAACAGAAGGAAGTTTGCCAGGATCCTTTTTGACTGGAGTCTTATCCCAAGATCCGCATGGTAACAGCTAAACGTTTTCCAATCAGACAAAGCAAGTAAGAATACAGTAAGTGGATTAAAATTTTTTGGGCAAGTGCTGGGAGCTACATGTACATATGCATGTCAGTTTGTACCTATAAAGATTTTCCTAATCTTTCTCATTGAAAGAGAAAAAAAATCCAAATCTGGGTATGTAGTATGACAGACTGGAGGTGATGCAGCTCAGTATTCCCAGGGAGTTCAGCTAGGTTATGGTAGCTTCGACACTTCTGTTGCCCTAAGGAAAGCTGACTCTTGGCTCACAATAGATAGCATGATCTAAAATAGGTCGGATTCTGGTCTTTTTGGAGGGACATTAAGACATCACACACAGGCTGCACAGCAGGTCACAGCCAGGGTAGCATCAGTGCCTGCTGCTGCTGGGGAGGTGGCAGGCCTTCTCCAAAACACAGAGTTATTTTAATGTCATTTCTCTCCCTCCTGAACTCAAATGTTTGCAGTGACACAGTCTGAACGGTGATGACACCTGAGTGGAGGAAAAGGTACAGCCTTCACACCCAGGACAGTGCAGAGTTGAAGGGCTGATGCATTAGCCTGAAGCAGCCCCACACACCCCAAAGCTAACTGGGCTTCATCCTCCCAATGCAATAAGCCCAGGCAGCTATTCAGCCCCTATTTATTACCATCATTAATTACCAACCACTTTTTTTTGACCTCATAAAGCAGATCAGACAGAGCAATGTGCTCGGCTGTGGCAGGACAAAGCCAGGCCAAGGGCACATCAAGCCCATCCCCAAATCCATGCACATCCCAACTGTCCACACACAGCCCATCTGCTTATCAATAGCTCCAATTAAATAGTCTCGGGGTTTCGACCGCCACCAGACACCAGCTCACTCTCAGTTTGGGAGAAAGACAGAGGAAGTTAAAATTAAATTAGCAATCGATTAATACATGAAGCAACTCCAAAGCTGTTGAGTTGAGCACTCTTTTGGGGTTTAACCCTTTGGTGCCCTATGAGTTTCATTTCATGGCTAGCAAAGTCAATGAGTACACTGGAAATATGGGAGAATCTTTAAAAAGGTTCACAATCAGATCAAATTCAGAAAAACTAAGGTTTGACAAAATTATTTTATTGAAATTTCAGTAAGCATAGAGCTCTTTATTATTTTTGTTTGTTTATTTTAAATGGGAATGTTCTAGAAATATGATCCTGGAGCAGTCTATTTTCAGATTTGGTGAAAAGAACAGCACAATATAAACTGGCAAAAAGGTATTTAAATAATTTTAGAAGGCCTATTTTATTTCCAGTCCTTATAATTGGAAAGAATCTGGAACAAAATCACTGTGAAACTCGGTGCTTGAAGTAAGAAGCAAGGTATAGAAAAAAAGCCTTTAAAGTGCCAGGAGGGTAGAACATAACACAGTGGAAGGATGCAAAGAACAAGAAAAAAAGAGTAACTTTTCCAATGGTCTAAATAGACAGTGCTTCACTGAATGCAGCAAAGCTGCCCCTGTTTATACTAACTGCTGGGTTTTACAGGGGATCCAGAGGACACACCAGACAGAACAACTGCTTTCTTCCCACTGTTTGACATTGCTCTATAAAGACAGGTAAGCACCAGGAGTAATCAAAAGCCCAGTGGCACGTGGAGTAGACTTTGAAAGGCAGATGTAAGCAAAAAGTGCCACTTTAGAGAGGTCTGTTCAGATTCAAGTAAGATCTCAAATAAAAGCTGGGAGCCCATACAGCACAAAACTATTCCCAAGGCGGTCCTTTGAATACAGTCTCCTCTTTCAACAAGATAAAAGTCAATGTAGATGGGCAAGCAAGACAAAATCCTACAGCAAGGGCACAGGAAGCGCTGGGCTCTCACAGCATCCCCAAGAGCAGCAGTGGATCAAGGAGCTCTGCAGGGAGGCATTAATGCATCTCTGAAACACACACGGACACTAACAGAGGATTCAATTTTTTTGTCCTACTTTTTTTTTTTGTTTTTAACAAAAGCAGACCAAATTCTATCTGTGGGGGCTAATATGAAAAGATCATTATGTTCTTCCTGGGTAGGATGTTTACCAAAAGCCCTTGTGCATTCAAATGGGGAGTCAGACACAGCCATATGGAAACCGTAGAACCGAGCCACACTACCACCTATGAGGCAATAAAAACCTACCTGGGAAAGAAGCTTGTTGTCATCCTCCAGCAGTTTCACTTTTGTCTCAAGTTGCCTGATATAGTTGGAAGACGAATCTTTAGAAAAGAGAAAAAAACACATTTAAGCTTCTTGTGTTAGAGGAAAGCACTGTCAAACAGTAAAATGTTTTCCCACTCTGTGGAAGGCAAGTTTGGGAAAGACCTAATGAATAAAACCCCATGTGTATAGGGTGAGGAAGGGAATGTATCAAAATGGTTTTTTCACTAAAAAGCTGAGGTTCAGCAGTAGCAATATCTTCTGTGAATCCTTACTGGTGCCATCAGTTTTAAGAGTGGGGGGATACAGAAGGAAAGTGAAGTTGAACTACCGTGGCTTGTATTTTTATAAAAGTAATTTCCTGGGTTTGAAAGCAATTCTCATTCATCTAAAATGCACTAAAATACTCCACAACAGAACAAGATGTTTCCTTTTAGGCTTGAATAAACAACCCCTCCACACACGTGCCTTTTGCTTTCAAAAACAACTGAAAAACTCACAAAAGTAAGCTGTTGGCACAGCTCTATGAGATCACTGCCACAACTTCCAGTGTTGTAAAAAGGAAAGAAGTGTATTCAGCAAGGCCACAGAGCTGCAGCATGCACACAACAAGTACCTCCCCAGGACATCTGTTTTTTCTAGTGGAAGCACATGACACTAACCAGAAAAATACCAGGACAATAAAATACAGAATATCCTCACATAATATGGCAATATTCAACCTGAAGGAATTTAGTGGCCAGTTTACCATTGCAGTTAAGACAGCAACACCAGACAGGGTGGCCTAGCATAGAAGATAAGTTGCTGGAGAGCATTGTGGGTGGCTTACTGCTCTCCAAAGCATCTGGCTTTTGTTTAGAACTGTGCTTTGAAGCAACACATTTGCAAATTTCACAGGGGAGAAAATAAAAGAACCTCGGAAAACCTTTACTCCATTTTCATTATAGTTTAGTGACTTCCTTCCATCCACTTGGAACTTTGCAAAATTTCTTCTCCATTTGTAATTTGGGTAGCAGAGGCCATGAGTTGTTACAGCAGGAGGAAAAGAGTTTTGCAACATAAGCATATAAGAAACCTCAAACATCTTCCACACTGCTAAAAGGGCTCTGAAAAGTGTAATTGAATTTTATCTAATTTCATTTATTATGGCATGACTGCAAAAGACACTATTCAACCCCAGGACTTCTTGCCAAGTGTGTATTGGCGAGGAACCAGGTGTTAACAAGGGCACTAATGCTGGTGGATGTGTGCTGCCCCTGGCCAGTGCCTTTCAGGATCAGCCCCACTATGGTGAGCAGGCACCACTGGCTGCAGCTCTGCACACACCAACACAAACCCCTGCACACGTGTGAGGTTCAGGCTGGCTCTGTGCTGAACAGCTTCTCTCTGCCTTTGCCAGTAGCTGCTGAACGCACTCAACACTAAGCCTGAATGCCTCTTTTTGGCCACCCTGGGGACAGTTCAGCAGAAGAGCTAGCATGCAAGCTAATCACTGAGAGTGCTTTGACCATTCAAGAGAAAAACTGGAATATGCTTGAAAAAGTGCTACCATAGACAAGTGCCAAACCACACATAAAGGAACAGCAGGAAGGATCCGAGTCAAGTGCCTGTCTAAAGCACAAACACTTTCAGAGGAAACATGCTCACTTTTTTGTCTGGATCATGCTTTGTCCAAACCCAGGAAATCCAAACAAGTCCTCATGAAAAAGGTTAAGAAGACACCATAGGAGGCTATGCCAGTTCAGTGAACAGCTTAAGTGGTTGTAAGGTTCACAGCAACATCGCCCTCAGCTGCAGGGACCACAAACTCTGCCCAACAACCACCCTAACACAGGGGGAGTCTCCAGGTCAGATAAGAGAGTAAACCAAATAGGTTACAGAATCAACCTATAGCTTATAGAATCAATGTACAGCACCTTCCCTGTGAAGGCCTCATGTCAACAGCACCACAAATTTAGCCATGCATAGCTAAAGGTGGCAAGTATAATCCTGCAGTAGTGCTGAAGTCAGCAAGATTTCAGCATCAGCTTGAACAACTTGCTGAATTAGTAATGAACCTGTCCCCCAGCAGGGTGTGAGGAGAGTTTGAGATTGTTAAATATAACGGAGGAGGACCATGGACCCTTTGGTCTGACCTCCTCTGTGCCCCAGGCCACCACACATGGTTAACTTACCCCTAAATTCAGTCCAATAATACCCATTTGGCTAAACAGTTCCAAAACCAGTCTCCATATCTGTTTGAAGACAAACAGAGACTCCACCACTTCCATTTGTGTGTTGGATACAACAGCTTCCATTGGTAGATCTGGTCAGATTAAGGTGTCCTTCCCATCTGCACTTCAGCTTCACTGATGCCCTCATAGTGCCAGGGCAGCAGCGGAGCTGAGCACCTCTACAAAGTGAATGCAGTAACCCTGATAATACAGCAGGTCCTGATTTTTATCTCAAAGTATCTGGGCATTCAAAGCAGCTTCAAGGAAGGATTCAAAGTGATGTCAAAGATGAGGCTCAATCCACATCTGCCTGGGAATCAGAGCTATGCCTCTGGACCAAGCACAGTTTCTGAGTGCACAAATTGCACAGACAGCAACACTTGTATAAACAAGTGCAGAAATGCTCAATAATGCTAAAGAAGATCCCAATGTGATGCTGATGTGACGCTCATAACAGACAGAGGCTCCACAAGAACCACAGCACTGACTAAGCCTGTTAGCCCATTAGTAGTCCAAGCCTGTTCCCCAAGCACCAGGGAGCCTGCTATATGCAGTGGCCCCCCTCACCTTTGTACTCTCTTATCACTACTAAGTATTTATAGTGTGGACTACCATACCACATTGTGTGCAAAGAACAGCAACCAAAAAAAAAGAAAAAAGCTTATGGGAATTATTTCTGATGCAAACAAGCCTTTTCTCACAGTTCTGAGCCCACGGAGGGCAGAGAGACTGGACGAGGTCCATTTCAGCAGCTCTGAATTCAAGCATTCAAGTGGGAAGTTACCCAAAGTGGAGGCTGGCAACCCAGACCTCATGAGCAACCTCTTCAACATGTGCTTGTGGCAGGTTCCAGCACTGCTAATGGCTACAGGAAATTTAGGTTAAGCAGATGAATGGTGACACAGAAGCTGTTGTGTTCAGGTCCTGAATGTTGTGTTCAGGACTGACTGGCTGGTTGGTGGAAAGAACAGAGCAAGACTGACAAGGAAAAAGAAATGGAGAATTATCTTCGCATTGTGGTTTCATATCCCCTATCAAAAAAAAAGGGGACTCCTTGGGAAGGCAAGCCCTGCATCCCCAGGAGCCAATGCACACCACAACTACCCCTAGTCTTCAAAGCCTGCTCTGAGACCTGCTAGAAGCAGAATTCTTCAGACACCACTGTTCAACTCCAAACCATGTCTGATATCTGACCTTAGCCAGAAAACACCCTATGGCAACATAAAACATACATTAAAAAAAAAAAGAAAGAAAAAACAAATTAGCTGTTTAGTCAGCAGAAGATGCTCCATCTTGGGCAGAGGCTGAGAAACAGTGCTCAGAGCCATCACCATCCTTGCGGCCCTCAGAGATTAATCGCCTCCATCTTCTGGAACTGCCTGTGTGGAGGTAGGGGCCAGATGAGCCATTTGCATCTTGAGTTCAGGTTCAAAAAAAATCTCATAATTCTCACAGCAGCAGGCAGTAACACTGTAGGGCTGAGCAGCAAAACCCCAGGCTAGGTCTCTCCCATATTAGATCAAGAAACACATTCCCAACATTCTTCTGCCTCTGACCTTCCTCTTATCAGTGAATTTCCCTCCTCTCTTGCCTCCCCCTGAGCCAGGAGACAAGGACGGCCCCACTGACTCACCCAGGAGAGGCAGCAGAGCTGGATCACTGACAGCTCAGACCCCCTCATCCCCTTTCATTAGAAATCAAAGGAATGGTCCCCACTGCCTTGTCAAAGCCTGCTGCCAGCTGTGAGGAATGCTCCACCTTCAACAGCCGAAATGCACTCTCCTCAGTGGCATGAGCAGCTGCCAGACCAGGGTACGGGGGCACACACCCAGCACACCCACCCAGCCACCACCTCGTGGCACTGATTCCGAGCCCACTCACACCTGTTATTTCCTTGCTGGTGACTCGGCATCTCACCCTACCCTGGCCAGACAACCACAGCGGTCAGATCTGTAGAAGTATGGCACAGTGAGAGGAGGTACAGTATGAAAGAAGCAGACAAGTATGGTGGCCAAGGACACACGGTCAAGGACAAGCTTTCTGGGAGCATGCTTGGGCACTCAGTGCTGCCTGGGATGCCAGCAGGGGCAACATCCTCCTCTAGTTACCCCTTGGGGCCACAAGCACCAGCTGCATGAGCAATGGGTACCTTAGTGGATCAGATGGCACCAGAGGGAAGGAATTTCCCACTCAGCACCCTCCCTGTGGCAGCCATCACACTTGGTGCAGAGGAGGAAGTCAGGGAGAGAGGCAGAGGCATGCCCTGCCAGGCTGATACCTGCAACAGCAAAATGGATGAAAACTGTGATCAGCAGCAGCCATCGCTCACTTCCACAATGTAAATGCTTCAAGCTAAATTGTTCACAGAGATGTAAAACCTGCAGTCCCATTTCTTTACTAAGCCTTTGGAAAACTAATTGGATGTAGTTTTATCTCCACAAGAGGTAGAAGAGTCACATTCCAGCCCAGGAAGGAGTATTACTGTTATTATCCACCCTCCGCAAGATTTACTGTTCTAAAAAACATACTCCATCTGGAATGGGATATAATTCAACTTGGATGTAATCTAGCTGAGTAAGTTTTCTCTACATGGATAAACCACTTAATACTCATTACAGCTAAATGGAGGTAAGACAAATCACTCAACCTTGTTTTAACTCAACAGCCTATGAAGAGAGCAGGGAACTGCCTGGTTCCTCAAGCTTTCTAAAAACATAAATTAGAAATTGTTTTAACAAACAAAACAATCTTTCAGCCTGCAGAGCACAAAACACTGTAATTTTAAAAGACACTTGGAGACACTGGAGCCTTTCTGATTCTCATCTGAGATTTCAGAAGAATCTGTC